CCTAAATAATCCCCCAAGTTAATAGGCCCAATGCTAGCCTTAATTAACTCAGGAAGTTATATCCTTATATTTTTGCAAAGTTTGCTGGTACATCCCCCAAGTCCTTATTTTGACCGCATCCCAGTTTTCAATAGGTGTAATACCCTTGCAGTCAAACTTTGCAAGCACAGTTCTAGAGACTGTAAATGTTTCTTTCCGATAGACATATAAGCAAAGCAAAATGAAAGCTGCTGCTTGGTGAAGGGAATAAAAAATAGAATAAGAGTGTGATATTCACAGAGCCACACTGGGAACACTGCAGGAAACCTAAGGAATGCAGCCAAGATGAAAGGAAGAGAGGAAAAAAAATTGGCTGGAGTGGGTGCAAAACAATTACAGTGAATGTACCAAGAACAGGCCTCTCTCTTAATGGTTCAGGGAGTAGATCTGGCCACAGGACAGCAGGGGGTAACTCATTTATTTATTTATTTTTTATACTTTTCTATCTGTGTAATAAAAGCAGAAAAGTTCAATTCTGCACTGGGAGATGTCACTTAGAATCAAACCATAAGATCCTCATTCAGAAACCTGATGTTTTCCACTTCCTTTCCCAGCCATTCTCTTTAGTCATCTTTGGCAGTGGAGTCTAATTTTAACTGCATGTGCATCTTTATCCCTTTTGAAGCAGGAAATATTAATCACGAAATCTGATTGGTCTCACTGTTGCTTACCCCAGGGCTGTTCTTTTGACTTATGAAAACTGGTGTCAGTTGGCATTGTCATCCACATGGCTAGATGAGCACAAGTGAAAGCCCAGCTATTTCCATTTTAACTAGACAATAAGGCAGAGGAGCTGATAAATGCTGAGGTATGGTATATTTCTCAGGGAGGTTATAGTGAAGCTTTCTCATTGGTTTCATATCTACCCTGTTGCTGTTAGGGCTGGAAATGTCTATGCCAGTGTTTTTTTTCCTGTTGCTATTAGCAGAGCTCATCAAAAGACATGAAGAAAGTGCAAAGGTACTGCAGTTAGCTAAGTGTGTTAAGGAAAAAAATATTCTAGCCCTCTGCTTTCCATCCTTTACTCCTTTTCAAACAATCTCCCATCAGGTTAAAGAACATTTGTTAGCTTGAGTTATCCAGAAAGGAAACTGTTGGTATGTTATAGAAACTTGTTTAGCTCAGGGTTTAGGTCCCTTCCCTCTTATATAGGTTATATTAGCAATTTTGAATATAGGTTAGATTTGTGAGTTTAAACATACAACTTTCTAACACAGGACTCTAACCTCCAGTTTACAGATTAAGTACTGCCTTCTCTTCCTGCCAGTCTTTCTCTTGAAGCTGATCCACTGCATTCTGCATTTAATATGGCTAAAATCACTGGAAATCAGAGTGTAAGCTTCTGCCCCATGGAGAAGATGATACAGATTAGAAGCCAGGGTTCTCTCTCTCCTTTCATAGCAATAGCTACCACACTGAGCCACACACTTTTTAGCTTATTCCCCACATATTTCCCTGTCTTGGCTGACCAGTGAGCCAATTTCAAAGGAAGGCTGGAGAAAAGACTGGATAATGCCTGGTGATTAAACTACCATGCTGGGAAATTGGAGAGATCCAGGTTTAAACTCACTCTTATGGGGTGGGGGGGTGGGGGGTGGAAGAGGGGCAGGGAGCAGAAGCTGTCTCCTACAGACTGGTCAAATGTCCTAGCCACTGTGCTCTTGGGATTTCTTCTCTTTTTGGTGAGGGACAGAATGTCAGGACCTGCAGACAAGGAGGTATTCATAGAGCCACAGTCATACATAGCCAGAAAGCAGCCCACTGTACATGTTCAGTAGTCATGTGGACTCATACATGTCCACTGCACAGGAAACAGGTTCTCAAACTCTCTGTAAGTGCCAAAAATGGCAGTTACACAGTGGGGTGTCATTTGGGCATGTTCAGTGAAATAGGATTCTGCCCAAGATGTTTGAGGACAGGATTCTGAATGTGATTCAGGATGCAATTCTCAACTCAGCCACAGACGATCTATGCATCATTGCTCAAGTCGTGCAAAATAAGCTTTCCAAAATTTTGAAAATCTGTTTTGTGCTTTACTTTCTTTACCAATAAAATGGGAGTCATAATGTGTCATTTTGCCATTTTTTCTATTTAGGGCATACTCTCCATATAGTTAGTGCTAAGCAAAATGGGAGCTAGTTTTATTTGGAATCTCTGTGCCACGATACTAATAATTAATTGCCCTTGAAATACATGCATTTCTTGCTGTCCAAACTTCCACTGACTTCAGTGACTAAGTCCTCAATAATTTTGAGAGAAAAAAATGAATTTTCACACGTTTAACCTTTTATTTTAAGCAAGTTTGCTTTTAGTTATTAAAGAAATCAGCTACTCCTTTCTTCCGTCTGAGGGATGAATATTTTAAAATAAACAGAGCTGAAAGGTCAGGGATGGTTGCAGGGATGGAGTAGAAGTTTTTAAAAGCTTAATACAATTTTTAGTCTTATTTCTCTTGATGGTTTTCACACAACATCATGTGCTTTCTTGTAGATGAGTCTGAACTGAAAACAGCTCAAGGCAAAAGAAAACAACTTGGCCATGGAGTCCGTATGTGTCCAAGAGAGACGCAGAGACAGACAGCGAGAGACTGTTCAGATTGGGCTAGGGGGCTTGTGCCTAAGGTACTTCAGGTGCCATCTCAAGTCACATACAATGACTTCTAGAGTTGACACTTTGTTTGGTAGGGTGGGTTTGTACATAGTAGACTAGCTAGATCAGTGATATATAGCATAAGCTTTCATGAGCTGGAGCTTACCTCATTGGATAGCATGAAAGGTTGAGTAGTGTTTAAAATAGAGGGAGTAATTTGAATGGAAAAGACAGGAAGAGGGGCAGGGGAGGTCAGCATATAAGGAGAGGTAAACAATAAATCCAAAAGCATCACAAAAACTAATCCAGATAATGGGATAAGAATTGTCGGTATCCGTTTAGAGCATAGTGCAATCTAGTTTGTGAATCATTTCTTGTTCCACAATACCCTATTCAAATGTGTTTTTAAAGTTTTGCTAAGAACTGCAACCCTGAAGTCCAGGGAAGTTAGTGTCTTTAACATAGGCCTTTGTGTTTTTCTAGAAATGATGTCAGAATGGGGTTTGTTCATTCTTACAGGCAGGATTCCCTCTCTCTGCCTATCCAATATGGACAGCAGAATGTAGGATTCACTCTCTCTGCCTATCCAATATGGACAGCAGAAGGGCATTGTAAGCAGGTGATGGTGTATTGAATATGGTAGAGTTGCAGGTGAACAAAACTCAGATGTTATAATCTCTGTTACTAGGTCCAATTATGATGTGGTTTGTATTGTACTGTGCTCTGCTGTGCTGTGCTGTATTGTATTGTGTTGTGCTGGGCAAATCTACCTTGCCTTCTGCCTGATTTCTGGCTAATGTGGCAAACTACCTTTCTTTGTTGGGTGTCACTTCGGTTATCTATCTAGAGAAAAAATATACCACACAGATGACACTCTCTGCTTCCAGTGGATAGGATTTTTCTACTCAAGTGCATGCACTCAAGTGCATGTTATCAGTCACATTCCCACTCCATTGTGTATCAGGTGGCTTGAGGTGTGGATCTTCCCTTTACTATGTCAGGGGAGTTGTTTTTGCCACTGGCATTCAGTGGCTCACTCAGAACCACTGAAAAGGGCCTTTGTTTTCTGTGGTACCAGCACCTTAACAATGTCCCCCTTCCATGAGCTGTGCAATACAGAGGAAGGGAGGAAGCGGGGTGGGGCAGAGCCATTGGTTCCTATGTTGTCTGAGACACAAGCAATTCATATAAAACCACAAATAAGATCATAATTTGACAGGCAAACTGCAAGAAAAAAAATAAAAACAGATTTCTCCCTCCAAGGCCCTGAATATTTTAGTGATTCTTTTCTTATTTTCCAAAATACATTCTTTTTGCTTAATCACAGGATCAGGTCAAGATGATAGTAGCAGTACCATGTGCTGCTCATGTGCATTTCTTTAATATGAAGGGCTCTAGCATTCTTCCCATTGCCAGTCCACTGAACACAGAGCAAGCAGGCCTACAGGTGCCCACGGCATCTCTTGAGTTCCTGTTGTTTTTCACTTACCTGTGGATGACTGTGTCCAGGTTCTCTTGTGTGTGTAAAGCAGAGGTGGGCAATTATTTTGGGCGGAGGGCCGCTTACTGAGTTTTGGCAAGCCATTGAGGGCTGCATGACAGGCAGCCAGGAGCAGATAAATATTAATTTTCTAAATTTTTAGGGGCTCTGTGGGCTGGATAGAATGGCCTGGTAGGCCGCATCCGGCCCACAGGCCACATTTTGCCCACCCCTGGTGTAAAGGCAACATCCAGACAACTGGAATAGCAAGACTTTAGGAAGTTGTGTTTGCTGTGAATCTTCTCAGAGAGAATTAGCTACAGTAAGTGAACAGGAACTTGAAATGGCAGGGCTACACAATGAACCGAGACTGATAAAGACAAACTAGCAATTACAATATAAGTGCTGTCTGCATGCTGAATGTTTTCACTTTTACAAAATGAAATAATTCTTTGCCGTTCCATAGTACCTAGGAGCTCAATGAGGTTTTGTAAATATAAATGGAGACTTGTGGGCCCTATGATTGCCATCCCTGGAGCCTCTGAAGAGAGGGAATCTCTGAAAACATGACCCTTGCTTTCTTCTTGCCTGGTTATCCTGCCCGAATGGGGTTATCCCTGATGGAATAGATCCTATGGCCTTTCCCCTCAAACCTCACAAATCTATCCATGCTGAGGTGCTGTATATATATCTGCCCTAGCTTGGTCATCCCAGCACTCCCTACATCCAGAGAGGATCTACAGAAAAAATGAAGAGAAAGCCCAACAGAATCTGCAGAAAATGGGACAGTAGAATGAGGTGTGCCCTCATCTACCCTGCCCTCCGTTGCCCACTCTCACCACTTAACCACTCGTTCCACAACTGACTGAGCATTCTTGATTCAACTTTGTAGGGAGAGCATTTCAGAACTGGCCAACACCTCCCCTCCCATCCTCACACAAATCTTGGATGCTGAATGTATTTGTGAGGAGGACTTCAGCTTCTGAATGAGATATTATAAAGCCTATGTCACAGGTGAGCTAGCTGAGAATTAAATAACTTCCTCAGGATCACATCGTACAACCATAAAAGAGCACCGAGTCCAATGCGGGAATCTTAACACCTGATGCCTTTTTAACTGGTAGGCTACACTCTCTCCCCTGATTATTCTCCTAAATCCCTCCCTACCTAAGGAAAAGAACACTTTCCATGGACAGTTTATTTGATTAGTTTGTTCCCAAGGTAAGATGCCATCTGTGCTTATTCTATATAAACATTTTGAACTACTCCTTTCAAATTGCAAGAAATTGACTTAAAAACCCTGTTTCCCCCTGCTACGAGCACCTCAAAGGGAGAAGAATAGCATATTTAATTTTATTTAGTGCTTATCCAGGACAAAATGGACTCCAGCCTTGTTCTTTATTATTTAATACGCACTTAATTTTTTTTAAATAAAAGATTTAATTTTTGATCTATGCATACCTTCAAAATCCCAAAAGAGCTTATCTCATGTGTTGTTTGGTTTTGCAGGGAGGTTTGCATTTGCTCTCTGAATTTTTTTTTAATTATACTTTATTTGCATTTTATTTTTTAATCTCTAAAATGCACTGAACTGAGACAATGAGTCTCAGGGATGCTGTCCAGTATTAAAACACAAAGATAGCATTCCAGTTGAAGTATTTTAAGGGATGGCCAGAAAGACTGTTTTGTTGCTAGTGACACAACAGCCTAGGAGCACGTCATTTCGGGCATGTACTTGCTACCATTGAAATCTATGGTAATCTTGCATGGACTACCTCAGTCATGGGATCAGTCCCTTAGAGGCTTCATTAGCTGGTCAACAAGCAGCCTATACCTTCAGACCTATTTTTGGCAGTAACTGCACAATTATTTCAATGCATGATGAGGCAATTGCACAGTAATTAATTAATCTTGCAGTGGCGAGGTGCTTGACTCAGGTCATTGCTGCAGGGATGGTTTGGGTTCTGGGAGTAAATAAAAACAAAACTCTGCCCCAGTGCAGCAGGGAGTGATGCTGCTTAGCAAAGAGGGCACTGAACTCTGCAGCAAAATCACCGTCCTGTTTAATTATAGATTTAGGAGGCCTGGGAATGACACACTGGAGTCTCACAGCCCAGTTTAAAGCCTCTTGCTAGACTGCAAATGTCATATAGGCCATCCATGTGTCAAGCACTTACTTCACCTTTCATCCATCAGTGCACAGAATTATGGGAGGAAGGAATTAAAAAAACCCAAACCCTAAGCACTTCTTGTTTGTCTTCTCCAGGCCTGAGTGCCAAGCTCACCCAAAAGAAGCAAAACTGACTTCTCCAAATGGCTTCAGGTGAAAGAAAAGTTCTTGGCTATTGCTTTTGCCAGTGACACAAGTGCTTTACCTTCAGTCCAGACCTTGTGAATAATTGACTGATGCGTTTGTTAATTTGCTGCAAACTCTTAATTGGTCTGAACAGGTTTGCATTAATAACTGTATCATTCAAATCAGATGAGCTTTGTGGACAGTTATTTTAGGATGCGTTTACTGTATGACCATAGACCCCACATGCCACAATTAAGAAGCAGGCAGGTGGGGAACCAGGCTTGGCTCCTTGCATAACTCAGGGCTGCCTGAAGGCTTCCATTTGCAGTAGTCCCCTATGATACCTATAGGACTATATGGCAATGGGAGGGCAGTAAAAAGGCCTAATGACATATTTAATCATGCCCTTTTTTGCCTGTTATGATCCTACAGAAAGAAAAATGGGATAAAGGCTGTGAAGCATCCTGCCACCATAGGATTCTCCTATACTGGGCATGGAGATCACCATGTGCCAATGAACTGACCTGGCAACTGAACCGTGACATGGATGTTGCCTCATACTCTTCCTGGAGGACAAGCCAATAGCAATGGTTGGAAAGAAAAATGTTTTGCTATCAGCAAATGGCAATTCATTGAAAGCAAAACAGGAAAACGTTGATGAGATTTTTGGTTATTTTGGAGGGAAAAACAGGAATGAGCGTTTCGATTTTCCATTTTGAGACAACTTTTTGTGTAAACTTGTGGCTTTTGTAAAATTAAAAATTAATCTTGATTTTATCACAGTGCAATATTTTGCTCAAACTTTTTTTGAGAAGGAATTCTCTGTCATGTGACATCTTGGATTAGTTCTGTTTTAAAACAGGAAAAAAATAATCAAAATCAAACCTCAAAATTTCCTACAAACTGAAAAAGTGAGTTCCTGCCTAGCTTTGCAAGTCAGTGACACAGTGTCAATTACTGGAAAAAAGTGGCACCCACAACATTGTGCCCTGTTTCTTTGCGATAAAAAATAGACACTATGGCCGCATCCACACGTGTGTGGACGTCTGGTTCTCTGGAGACAACTAGCAGCAGCACACCTAGTGCCATTGCAAGTTCTCTCCAGGGAACACCTGTGCCATGTGCCCTTTGGCACGTGGCAGGTTACCTCAAGTGTGGTAGGGGAGGCTGGGGCCAGCACTGGGCTGGCCCCAGCAGCCTTACCTGGGGTCCTGGGGGCCTCCAAGGGCTGCAGCAGCAGTGATTCTGCCACTCAGAGCCTAGCTGGAGTGTGGGTCTGGCCAACCAAGCTCGGGTTTTGAGTGGCGCACACTGTCCCTGCATGTGCCGCTCCACTTTTTTTGCTTGGGTTTTTTTGACCCCTGGATATCCAGGGGTCAAAACCCCCCACCCTGTGCTGCTCCCTTGCAGTGCAGAGAACAGCTAAATATATGGTATGTGACACTGTGGACATGTCTGCAGTGCCATATTCTGCAAGATGGTATTTGTCTGGATGTGGCCTAGGAGTGCATGCCATTTCTGAGAAGAAAGGAAAATTCAGAAGAATAAGAGGAGAATTTGGCCCTAGGACCACAACATGAGCATCCAAAAATGAATTGTGAAGATGATTGTGTTATTTTGTCAAGTAGAAAAGTCAGACTACAGGCACAGTTCTCTTCCTGCAGGATATGATTAACTCCCATTGACTTAATCACTTCATGTGTAGGGGATAATAGGGCCCAACAGTAGAAAGCCAAATATTGTCTTTAGACCTGAATTTTCCTTATTGTGAGTCACTGAACTGCATGTCCATGCATCTGTTTTTCTGCTGTAGGCAACAAAATTTTTCCTTCCATGTCTGATGGGAAAGATGGATAGGAGTCAAACCTAGTAGCTTTTTCACTTATTATGGTAAACTATCAAGTCCGAATTTGAGATATAACTATCCTTACACTGGGATCCTGACAAAACCTCTAAGAAAAAGGAAAACATTCTTCCTATAAAAGGAATGGAATTGCCCACAAAATTATTTCCAGCTTGCCAGGCCTGTGTAATCTGACACAGAAGATGAAAAGCATATGAATTTCTGGATCCAGTAATTTCTTGCACATTTAAATATGACACTGTAAAGCAGGGTGGCTCATTTCTCACATTATCATCATCTGTCCTACTCCTGTGCATCTCCTGAATCTGCCTGAGATGCAGCTTCTTGCTGTATAAATGCATGTTGTCCATCAAGGACACTGAGTCTCTTGCTTTTTAGGGGATTCACTCAGGGTACATACAGATGTTTGCCATACCCGATTTATGATCATGTGACTTGTGAACACATTTGCGAGTGCCTGGAGCTGGGTGGGGAACCTGATCTAAGTCAGGATTTCTCAACCTTTTTCTTCCTGAGGCCCCTCGACTAGCATGCTATAAAAACTCCATGGCCTACCTGTACCACAACAACTGTTTTTATGCATATCCAGAATGCGGGGTGGGTCCTAGGTGAGGTGGGGGAGGCAGGGGGGCATAGGCAACACATGGGGGGCATAAGTGATGCATCAGGAGGGTTAGGGAAGGCCTGGGGGGCATAGGTGATGCGTTGGGGGGGCGTGGGGAGGACACATGCCCTCCAGATTTGTGCATCCACAGCAGGCACAGGACTGCAGCTTGGCCAGGCTGGCACGAACAGGAGCCGCATCTGTGGCCCAGCGGCTGGGACCTGACACAGGAGGGTGGAGTGGGGTGGCAAGACTCATTGCCACTGCTGCCAGAACCGCTGTGCCAGCTGCACCGCCAGCAGTGAGAGGGGAGGCCGGGCCATGGCTTCTTGTTGTTGCCGTTGTTTTGTTTTGTTATAAATTGATGATATAAAATGGTGTTTCAGCCAAGAAATATGAGAAAAATGTTTAACAAAATATTTTTGTTTCAGAAACACCAAAATGCTTAATTTTTTTACTTAGAGTTGTTCTTTGAAAATAGCAGGCTTGGTTAAAGTTAAACCAAAGGTTTAAATAACATGAACGTGAAACAAAACATTTCTTTTGGTGTTGAATGAAATGCTTCTATGTTTTTTGGTTTTTCATATTTCTTTCATTCCATTTGACATTGTGTTCATTTCTTTCCTTTCACCAACAAAAAATGAACCATTTTTTTTCCTTCTGATTTTTTGGTTCATTAGCCAAAGTGAAAATGCTTGCTAAAGAGACTGCCTGATGGTACATTGCAGAGAATCTTTCTATTTGCCTTCAGAGACAGTAAAGTCTTGAATGAAAAAAAGAGGAATCAAAAATATATTTTTTTTGTGTTTGTCTGTTGAGCATAATGGCATAGACACAGTGACAAACTTAAAAGACTGGTGCTTCAGTAATGCTGAAGCAGCAGCCCATGATTCAGAGGAAGGAAATTCAAAATTCAGGCTGACAAGCAACCCTTAAACAAGCCAATTGTGACTAGATCATTGAGCCAATAGACACTAGCAGCTCTTTTGGAACCATTACGGTCTCTCACCTCAATGCGTACTTAAAACCCTTTTTTTTTAAACCCTCGATTATTGACCTGGCAGCTGGTAACAACTCCCTCTGAGCTCTTACCATGTAACTATCAATGCAGTGGCTGCTGCTCATCTACACGGAGCCTGCATGCTAAAAATACACCATTCCACAAATGTTACTGTGTAGCTGGAGTATTTCTTTTTCCATCTGAAATCACTCTGAATATATTTACTAGCCCCCTGCCCCCTCCTCTCCCAATACCATGCAAGACTAATGCATCCTGTAGATAAGAGCCCCAGAGCTGCACTTTGGAAACAGTTCTGCTCTTAGGCCAACAGTGCCCCCTGTGGGAGGGTAGAAAAGGCAGCAGATGTTTTCTTAGCGTCATTTTTATCCCAATAATAAATGGGCAGCCGCTCTGCTTCCAGGCTTCATAGGTCTTCCAGACTCAGCAAAAGGTGAGGACCCCATCCCTTAAAGTAGCTCTTAAATCTCCTTTTATCACTTTCAAATATCTTAGTGTTGTTGGAGGTATGCTGTCAGGGCTTCTCCTGCTTGTCACTATCCTCATAAGCTGCTTTAAATTGAGGTTTGTTTGTTCTTTTTTCAAGGTGGAGGCTCTGTAGATGAATTAAAGCAGGCTCAAACTGCACTATTTTTTGACAGCTTTTCCAAGTGCTTTGAAGGGAGCAAGGCACATTTCCTTGTCCTTTCCTTCCTCCCCCTCAGCTACAGATCTTCCAGCCCATGGCTAGGACTGTGTTGCATGGTCTATAGCAGCAAGGCACAGTTATCAGAGACACTTGTGTGGGCTGGGGATTTGTGTGTAGGAAACCCTTCACGCAGATGGTAAGATCCAGACTATCCGGCTTTCGTTTATAGCTCTTTGACCTTAATGAAGTTATTCCTTATTTATGTGGCGTGAGATCAAAATCTGGCTCGAAGGCTTCGGTTTAGATGAATGGACTTCAGCGCATATCTGAAATTCCTTTTCATTTTGTTTTTAAGTTGTAGCCTGGGGAAAAGCTGAAACAACACCAAAACAAGCTAAAAATAGGAAGTGATCCTAGGCAGAGACCATTTATGTTACATTTCTATGGCTGATACAGCTACTGAAAATAGGGTGTCATGAGGGGCCAGATGACTTAAGGGTTTTATAATGAGATATGGAATCTTTCATCTCTAGGTCACTGGTTTGAATGTGACCCTGCGTGGCGGTGACTGAAAGCTGCTGCCACCTGATAGCGGCTTGTTCAGCTACACGACATGAGTTGTAGGTCTCCATCTTGTCCCCAGCGGGCAGATGCACGTTTCTCGAAACCCACCAACCCCTTTGGCATTAATTGGTGTTCTTATTGTCTCAGCAGAAAGACAGAGCATTAACTAAATAATGCTCACTCCACCACGGGTGATCTTTCCAGTCCAGCAGTGGGGTGCATGAGCAAGGGAAATGAAGGGCAAACTTGCACTTTGATTGCCTCAACCATTGTCGGCCTGCAGAAAGAGAGAGAGAGGACTTCAGGCTACTGAGCTAGCAATCCAGCGTCTTTCCTCAACACTAAAACTGACTTTATAAAGAGGAGCTTATTATAACAGGAACTCTGACAATAGCACGGTACAAAGTGTGCTGTCATCCTGATGGTTAGAATATTAAGGAACCAAAAAAGAGCCTTTTAAACTCGTCACTCCTACTCACCAGGGTACACCAGGAGGTGCTCAGCAGCAAACTGTGTGTCATTCACAGCAGGGATTGGAAGCACAATAGCTTCTGTTCTCTCTGCCTGTTCACTGTTGTTTGTTTTATGTTGATACTGTCTATGCACTTAAAGAGATTATATATTTTTCCCATGGCATAAACAAAATGACTTGCATTTCATAAGGAAAGTAACAATCATGAGAAGCCAGTCTTAGAAGGGAGGGGTGGAAAAGTTTACAGCAAGGGGAAATAAAGCCGATCTGTTTGACTTTGAGTTAACGATTGCAGTTTCCTAAAAAAAAAACAAAAAAAAAGAAAATTCATTGTGCTCTCATTTTAGAGGAGGGGACTGGCCCCATGTGGAACAGTGAGTATTCTCATAGTCGGCAATGTTCGTCACTGAATTGAGCTCAAAACTAGTTAAAAAAAACCAAACCAAATACAAGTGCAAGTGAGTTTGGTGCTCTCCGGAGACAGATTTCAACCCCCCTCCCCTCCAGCTCAACAGAATTTGAAACAATTGCTGTGAGGGAAGATGATGAAACAATTCCTATGTGGCGGGCCAGTCTTAAAAGGTCAGCCTGGGAGCAGATCCAGGCTGCCCAACCCTCCCCCTTCCCGTCTCAGGTTAAAAGAAACGAAGCAGTTTAAAGTGGTAGGAGGGCATTGGATTATGAAGGGCCCTGAAAGGTAATGTGCATTCATTTGCCCTTTTGTACTCCAGGGAAAGCATACAGTACATTGTAGTCATTCGCATGGGTTATTTCCCCCCCCCCTTCTCCCACCCAAATACAGAACAGTGGCAGCTGAACCACTGTAGGAGAATAGCATTGAAATGTGTAATGCACCATAAATAAACAGAAATAGACAGCCAGGAAGCTGTGGTAATCATTGCTTTGATGTAGCATGATTATGGTGTATATGTGTGTGGTGAGCTCTTTTTTTTAAAGGCTTCATGTTTCTGGCAGTGCTTGTTTTGACTCAG